CTTGAAGGCAATGACTAATGAAAAAAAACAACACAATCACTAAACTAAAATTGTAACTTTCCATTTCCACAAACTAACAGGCAATCTGCTATCCGGGAAAACTTTCCTTATCTTCCTCAGTTACAGCCACTGTACTGCAAACAATAAACGGACACTCGGTTCGGACTGAGCCTCGGGGAATTCTGTTTCTGGACATTGTCTCTCTTTTTTAAGACATAAGTTTCAAGCACTCCGTAACAGCCGCCTCCTCCAGCAGGAAGACGCAAAAACAGATCAAAGTCAATTACAAACTCACTGATCCCAATCTGACTGAACATCCTTGGGATACACCACAAGCCTGATCTATAGAGAGACCATCTTGTGACTTACTGGACCCAAAGGATCCATTTCTAAAGAGCTGGTGCAGCTTGTGGCATGTGCTGCATGGTCCTCCATGAGAACTTTAAGCGGCATTATTCAGCAAAGACCCAGTAAAGACTGATATCTGTGATTAGGTTATAGTACGTGGTCATTTCTGCTCCATCCATCTTTTAGAAGGATAAAAATTTACTGACAGAACTGGAAAAATATAAAAAAAAAAAAAAGCAAAAATAACTGAAAATAATGAACTTTTCTTTAATCCACCCCAAAAAATATAAACAGTTAAAAATAAAGATCAACATTAATTAAAAACATGCACTGTTTTTTCATTAGCTCTTAGTTGTAAATATTACTGGGGCCAAATATTAGTGGATAACTGCAGGTAAATGGCTCCATAAAGACCTCCAACTTTACACAACTTTCAATTATTTGAAAAAAGAGGGAAAAAAATCGAATAAAACTGGTTTATCTGACTTTTTTTCCAGATTTCAAAACAAATAGTCCTCCAGAGTGTAAACAGGCCCTGGATGTGTCATAATGACCTTCATCCTCAGTTTCTACTTACCGTTTCTATGAGTTTGCGGTTTTCTACTAGCTGCCTTTTGTCTTTGATCTCGTTTGATGCCACCCACGTCTTGATCTGGTCTCGAAGACGCTGAGGGACCAGAAGAAGAAGGAAAAAGAGGGGGGGGGACATAGCGGGAGAGGAGGGAGAAAGAGACAGAGAGATACATCAGTGAAGTCTGTGATAGGAGCGCAGCCTCCTCTCCAGCAGTCATGGGTGGTGAACATGATGTCTGCATGCAGCAAACAGGCTTGGCGTGAAGTTTGGTCCTCATGACAACGCTGAACATTTCAGGCTGAGCGAGATGATATTTAATACTACAAACACACCTTTATGTGTGGCAGGTTAAATGATTCAAGTCAGCAAACATCTCAGCCTTCAC